ACCAAGAAACAGCTTCTCCAGGGCTTATTTTCTCTCCTTTCTTTGTTTATTGTATCGGTCAGCTTGTGAATTTGCAGTCAGAGCTTCATATCCTTCAGACGGCATGCAATGTTTTAGAAATTGCAGGTAGTTTGTAACTAGCAATGGTATTCCTAATAGAAACAGCTTGCATTACAAGCATGTGGTGTATCCTTTCTTCAGGGCATCAAATTAGCTGAAATAAATTGCCACTCTTGGAATTTTTGGAGTGAAGAAGTGCTTATGGTGCTTGATTTAATGTGCTGGATCCCTGATTTGTTGCCACTTGGTGTATTTATCAGAGATGAGGCCTGGCAACCCCAGGTGGAAGATGGCAGAGAGAGGGGGTGTCATTTTATAGCTGGAGTGGCTGCTGGTGACTTGATTTATTGCAAGAGATTCCAAGGCACCTAAGGGAAGCAGCTTGTTGTTGCAAGAAACAGCACGGATGAAAATGCATTGGTAGCCAGAAGCAAAGGATAAATAAACTTAATTATACCCTGCCTAGATGAGGATATGAATGGCATGGTGTCCTAGAGGTGAAGAGGCATGCCTCCCACTTGGAAGGTTGAGAGTTCAATCCTAAGTAGCGACAGATGTTTCTTTATTAGGGTTCAAAGAGAAATATCTGCTGTGAACTTCATGTAGGTGTCAGGAAGGGCATCTGGCCAGTAAATGCTTAGCTCCATTTAGTTGCCCAGACTCCACCCCCCATAAAAGGGATTAGAGGGTCGTTAAAAACAACAACAATAAAAATACCCTAGATGTACCAAAGATGTTTCTGAGTAGATGAAAGCAGGTTTATATGAGAAAAAAATAGTTTACTTTGATTGGAAGTCATTTACAACTTCCATGGATCAAAACTGGAACACCTAAGCGAAGAGGAAATTTGCAGCAATTGGTATTTTTAAGCAAGGTTGGGAAGGAGGGGGTTCTGGTCCACAATCTTTATGCAAGCTGACCCAACTCACATTTCCAATCTAATAGGAGGACCAGAAAACAGCTAGCTTTCTGACAGAATGTATGTATCTGAATACTGCAATGTAGCTCTAAGCACAAATTTTGCTAAAAGATTTTAAGTAAAGTCATTACCCCAAATGTGCCTGTTAGCATAAACTTAATACACTAATCCAAACTGGGAAAAGAAACATTTTCTTAATAACAAAAACTGCATGTGAAATAAATTACAGCATAGACTTACATTAGGCAGAAACTGAATGGAACAGACTTAAGTTTGAATATGCACAAAATTGACATGATATAAAAATGTTTCATCCAACCTTATCTCTAAGCATTATATAAAAAGTATACAAAATGTATTCAGTTCACATTTAATAATCTAAAAATACTATCAAGCATAGATAAGTGGCTCAAAAAATACTGGATTTTAAATTGAAATTATCTGTAAAATCTGTGCCAATTTGATACAACTACCAATTTTCTAAATCTGTCAGGAGCAAAGGCAACTTTCTTTTTGATCTGTGGTAGTCATTATTTTTTTTAAAAAAAACAACAACACAATTTCTTCTCCTTTAAAAAGCAAGTAAATAGTTTGCAAAGACTTTAATCCAGAAATAATGTTACCTCTGGTGAAACTCTCAGCTATATCCAAGCTGAGCTCTCTAATACCTTATTTCAACAATGTTTCCAGGTATTCTGAAGCTAAATAATCAAAGCAACAAGGATTGTTTTGGAAATAAATGATTTTCTACAACAGGATTTAAGGGTTACCGGGAGGAACAGCAATTAATGTGGAAGAAAA